TACAAGAACAACTAATTTAAAAATGAAACGCTACGCAGGAATAAAAAGATAAATAAACAGAAAGGCGAATTACAAAGACAAATATGACGAGAACGAGACGCATCAACTAAGTAACAATGTCAGCGAGAGAGAGAGGCTTATCTTTCTGGAGTTGTATGAGGGATCGTCAGTGCGGCAGTAGAAGGGATTGCCTTTTTAGCAATCCGACGCTTTTACTCCAATTAATATTACTTCGTCAGGTTTTGCAGGAGGAACGTTATAATGTCTGGCCAGATCGTGCGTCCACGATCGGAATAGAGTTCCTCAAATTTCTGGCAACGGTCTTTGACAAAGGCAGCCGACTTCTATCTCCTAAACGGAACACCTCTGAGCCTCTTGGTTCCCTCTTTCTTCATCTCTCCCTATTTCTCCCTCCATCTCTCCCTTTTCATATATTACTAATTATCTTAATACATTAAGAATTACCACTACAAATGTATGTAAATTTCCTTGGATTTTTTGTCAGGGAGGAGACGAAAAGTAATTTCGCGCAGATATAGGTACGGAGAAACGTATCGATGCTCGATCTCTTGGGAAGGGGAGAATAAAAACGCATCGTCAATATATTCCTGCCATGAGTGGGAGCCGCCGCTTTCCACCGTTAGAGGCGCCCCCCTCTCTACTCGGGCGGGTGAGAACTAGAGTTCTAAATCCAGTAAGTTACGTCAGAAACGAAGAGAAATTCCCGGTAACTTATCGGTAATTTCTCCAAAGCCTTTTTAATCGAGAAATTATGAGAATTTGAATTTTTCAACGGAGCGAACGAGAGGTTTCGATTCGCTATAGAGAAACATCGTAGAGGGGAATTTCCGTTGTACGTTCTCCGTAGCCAATCAAAACCTCCCATTCGCTTCGTCGCAGAATGAAATATCAGTTCGTTTGAAACAAATCGCATGGAATTTTCCGTGAAGTTGTACATACGTGAATATTTTTAGCTGGAGGTAAATACGACCCTATAATCAATATTTTCTAATAGTAATTATTACTCTTTAGCCTGAACTTTGAAGTTGATTGAAAAAAAAAATGTTATTTAAACGAAGAAACCTAAAGTATAAATAACAAAATTAACGTTCTCTTAAATTCTCAATGTTCCCGGTAACTTACAGTATGTCTCACAGTTACCTTCTCCAATTTAATGTTACCGAGAATTTTCGAACTCTAACTCGGGCGGGTGGGTATTTATACTGACCTAGGATGTTCCTAGGCGCGGAGGAGGATGCTTATTGGTGGGTTTTTAAGATTGAGGAGAGAAATGTCTCATGTGATTGGCTTGGGGACAGGTCGAAGGGGAAACAAGTGGAAAGTGTCCTTTTCTAGAGAATCTGAATGTTTGACGCTTCCCAGGGCTGTCATCTAGTTTGGGGTGCGGAAGTACTCGGATAATCAAAGGGGAGATAAGAAACGAGGGAGAGCATGTCTCCAGGAGCGTTTTGGAGCGCGAGACGCGTTGCTTAGTCTCTTTCTTAAATATTACTTAAAATAAAATGTTAGGTAGGGACCTAACAATGGCCGGCTAGAAGTGACTTCCGATACGTCACGATACGGGACAAAGAGAGACACGGAACTCCCCCGAGGGGAGAAAGGGCTGGCAAAATTGGGGTAGATTCAACGAGTGGCGAAGCACCCTCGAAGGGGATGATATTCCGACGCGTCGCGTAATTTCGTGGCGATTTGGCCGGAGGGTCGGGAAACGCGGAGGGGCGGCCCTCCCCGTTAAGTCGACGGTCTTGGGAGGAGGGTGAGAAACGTCGCCCCCTCCGATACTAATGAATATCGTGTCGCGTCGGATCGGGGGGTTTGTTTGACGCTTCCTAAGCGGCCGCCATGGCGCCACCGGTGCGGGGAGAGGGGGGGCCGCTTTTAAGAATATTGCCGACGATATAGCCGCCATTAATTTACCGGCACTACGCCACTACGTTAACCCTTTAGTCATCGATTTCGGCATCGATTTCCTTAACGAGCTCTCCGACATCGCGATAACGGTAATAATCGAATGCGCGTCCATTGAACGCGTCCGGTATTCACCGCCTGTGAAAATTATTGCATAATACCTTTCACTTTCACGTTTGCCAGGAATACACCACTCGGGGCATCGAACTGATAACCTCTCGCGTCGTTATGCCAGGCCGTTAAAAAAAATATTATAATTTTATAACATTTCTGTTGGGAGGTTTGTTCAGACATGGTATACTCATTTTTTTACGTATTTTCAAATAAAATGTATAGCGTATGTTTTTAAATTTAGTACATATGTGTAATGAATTTATAATATATGGTGTAAATTTGTGTTGATCGGTACTTGATATTAAATGTTTTTTCTGCAAACAAACAAATTTGACATATGTTCCGGGCACGTTTGAGGGCGATTTTAGAGACAGCCCTACCTTAAACGCCGAAACGAATCTTTTTGCAATTATCGTGGTATCGAACCCGGAAATCACGGAAAAGTATCAGGTACGTTGTACATGACGCTGTCCGAGTTTTCTATTGACTGTAAGAATTTTTTTTTAATATTATTTAAATATTTCTCAGACTGAAGAATGTCGCTACGATGCTTCTCCGCCAGTACCACCGATACTTGTCATGTTTCGATTAAATTTGTTTAAAAATAAACTTATGTAAACGATCATAAAATTAAAAGCTCATATAAAAAATGTACAAACCATGCATACCAAATGACTTTCGAATACCAAATTTATAATTTTTTTCCGTAATTTCATAAAATTACAACACGGTGTTATAAAAATGCAAATTTGCTTAGAATTTTATGAATTTTTTTAACAGCGTAGAAATCAGGATCGACGCGGAAGTCGAACGCTTTGAACCCTCGTAATATTGTACTTCCTTATTATTACGGTATTCTCAAAGTTCAGTCATTTTTGAACTTGAACTTGCATGTAAGTATCTGATCGAATTGATAAATTTTTGTTTGTTCAACCATAGAATATGGTTATTATACGAACAAATGAATATTTGGTTGATGTGACAAAAATCTGTGGTTAATTAATTCTTTGGAACCTTTGACCGATTACATAAAATATTGTGGGAGATCGCACAAAATATTATAAGAATCTAATACATTTAACCAAAATATTTGGTTAGTTGGCCCGAATATTTTATGAAACTGACATAACGATGTATGCAAAATATTTCAGTCGATCGATGCAAACGAGTTTGGTCAAACGAATTAAAATTTAATTACTCGACAACGTTTTCTGCATATGAACCAAATACAGTCAATCAAACAATTTTGTACAATGAACCAACGTTTCTTCCTGTACAGAACAGCACCACAAGTAGAGCACTAAAAATCAGGAATGTAACGTTAGTCGGTAATCAATAAATCAGACAGTCAGTCAATAATGTAAGTAAGTCAGTAAAGTCAGTAAAGCGACGAAGCAAATTGTCAGAAAACGTCAGACCTTTTGAAAAGACCTATCAAAGTCTCATTCTCCAATGGCTTCTTCCCGATTTAACCGCTTCGGACAATGGAAAGAAATTTTCTTATTGAATCGAAGGAAATTACATTAGACACGTTATAAATCCACAATGAGTTATCTATCGTTAGAATCGAAAATATTCCGTGAACTGCTGATACCCCGGAACGTTGAGCCCGATAGAAAATACTGCCTCGATTTCGTAGGAGACAAAGAAAACGATCCATTGATAAAGATAGAAAAATGTATCGAAATTATTCCGTTAACTGCTGATACTCCGGAACGTTGAACCCGATAGAAAATACTACCTCGATCTCGCAGGAGACAAAGAAAACGATCCATTGATAAAGATAGAAAAATACATTCATGAATCTAAAGGCTCGAATCTAAATCTCGTAGGAGACAAAGAAAACGATCCATTAATAAAAATAGAAAAATGGATCGAAAATATTCCGCGAACTGCTGATACCCCGGGACGTTGAGCCTGATAGAAAATACTACCTCGATCTCGTAGGAGACAAAGAAAACGATCCATTGATAAAAATAGAAAAATACATTCATGAATCTAAAGGCTCGTATCTAAATCTCGTAGGAGACAAAGAAAACGATCCATTGATAAAGATAGAAAAATGGACCGAAAATATTCCGCGAACTGCTGATACCCCGGGACGTTGATCCCGATATAAAATACTACCTCGATCTCGTAGGAGACAAAGAAAACGATCCATTGATAAAGATAGAAAAATGGACCGAAAATATTCCGTGAACTGCTGATACCCCGGGACGTTGAGCCCGATATAAAATACTACCTCGATCTCGTAGGAGACAAAGAAAACGATCCATTGATAAAGATAGAAAAATGGACCGAAAATATTCCGTGAACTGCTGATACCCCGGGACGTTGAGCCCGATATAAAATACTACCTCGATCTCGTAGGAGACAAAGAAAACGATCCATTGATAAAGATAGAAAAATGGACCGAAAATATTCCGTGAACTGCTGATACCCCGGGACGTTGAGCCCGATATAAAATACTACCTCGATCTCGTAGGAGACAAAGAAAACGATCCATTGATAAAGATAGAAAAATGGACCGAAAATATTCCGTGAACTGCTGATACCCCGGGACGTTGAGCCCGATATAAAATACTACCTCGATCTCGTAGGAGACAAAGAAAACGATCCATTGATAAAGATAGAAAAATACATTCAAGAATCTAAAGGCCATAACTAAGGTCGACATCTGAAATCTGCGGTACGTGTCCTACGATGTCGAATAACTCTCGCTGGATCCCACTGGTCGCATCTTAAAAAAATCTTTCTGGCACAAAATATCAGGTCTCTGAAGATAACGACGCGCCGCCCCCGCAGGGGTCGTCACGACGAAACCCTCGACCGGCGTCGAGCTCGTATCCGGTCATCGAAAAGAGACAGGTGCCTTAAAAGGTACGTTACATCCCTCTCTCTCCTATCGAGCGTCCGCCTTGGGGATAAGGAGGCCATTTCGCCGATACCCATCTCACCTGCTTGTGCATCTCCACGTTGAGGCCGTAGGACATCTCGTAGTACTGCAACAGAAAGCGATAGATCAGCGAATGGCTAAGGGGATCGGAGAGCGAAGGAAGGAGGGGGGAGGTGAGGGCGAAATAAAAGGGGAAAACAATCGAATCGATTTCTAGCCCGTAAGAGACGTCACGACTTCGCCGCGAGAGAGTGCACGACTCTCGTAAATCTCTCGCGACTCTTTCGCAGAAATGAGAGCCCAGGATTGACGTTGCGTGTCTTTTTCCTTTCGCGAGGGCTTTCTCCCGCTCCGTCCTTCTCCATCTTTCGATACCTCGATCGTCTCTTCTCTCTCTCTATTTAGGTCCGCTCTCGATCGGTCCCTCTCGCCTTCCCTCGCGAATCTCGTTTCCCTTCCGCTTCGTCTTAATCGACGTCCCCGGGAAAAGGGGGAGCGGAGTCGTCGGGTCTCCTCGTTTATGCAACACCGCGGACGACGACGGTATTTTAAGCACGCATTTAAGCTGATCCACTTACGGCTGGGTGCCAAGACGAGAGGTGTCCGCGGAACGAGGGTGTACCTTACACGCTTCGGGGGAAAAATGCGAGACCGGGTCGGACCGCGATGCCATGTCAACTTTTCCGGCACGTAGGGAACGCGTCCCGCGGGTACAAGGTGCTGACGTTAAGGTGATATAAATGGGCCATTCTATATATATTTATATATATGACGTAAGAATATTTATAAAACTTTTCTCCAAACTGGGTGCGTCAAATCATTTGAAACTTCAACATGTGATTATCGAGGCCCTAAGAAAGAGACCGATGGTCGTAACTTTCAGTTTTTCACAAAAAAAAAAACGTGATTTTGGCTCTAGTCTCGGCTGAACAAAAAAAAATGGTGTGAGAAATTAAATTTTACACGCATCGCGTTCTTCCTTATGGCCTCTATAATGACATGCTGAAGTTTCCAACGATCGCTGCAAGTTTGGAGAAAAGTTTTATAAATATTTTGCCTCTTTATATGTGTAGACCCTTTATTTATAATATTTTGACGTTTTAGATGAATTTATTTATGGAATGACCCTTTCATATCACCTTAATTCCTTGAGAAAGGGTGAAATACGGTGGTCGGGATCCAACATCAATATCATTGTCATCATTATCACGTGAATCGTTATCATATATCATTGTAATCAGTACATATGTTCGCATGTAAGAATGTGGGGGAACTATAACAAATTTGTCCTTTTAACCATTTCGGCTGCAGTCATAACTGCGAAATTCGTGTAAATAAGTACTAGTTATACATATTTTGGTGTTACATGTACAAAATTGGAAAGTAAGAATTACCGGTGTAAAGGCAGATGCAAGAATGATTGTTGCGGCTGTAAAATTTAAAAGCAAGAATTCTGTTGAAAACGGTAAAATACCCATCATCGCTAATATTTCTTACAAGGGTGAAACGTTCATTACACTTTTGTTGCGCGTTTAAGGTGAAGTGAAACACGACGAGGAACTTGATCGACGTCGATAAAGATGATTTCTCTAAATACCTACGTTGCCAACGTTCGTTTTTATATTCACTGCCGGGTCGAATTATATTGGGTATTGTACTAAATGGCATACTCCACCTGTCGTTTTCGTACAATAATTATAAAGAAATCGAAGTACAACTCCAGAATCCTCTGGATTCGTGCTTTCTCACACACTCGTACATGCGTATGTATGCATTAGTATTTGGCGCGAAACTCTACCGAGTTTCTTGACTACAACTTATTTACAAGAATTCCGTAGTTACCGCTGCAGCCGCAATTGTTTAAAGGACAAAAATTGTAATTACATTATCAATAATTGTCGTTATGGTTCCAACAACAGTTTAACACGCGAGCAAGTGTAATAACAATATTTTTCTCCTCGTAAAGTGCACCGATCGAAGTACCCGATTCCCTAAGAGAGAAAACGGGGGTAAGTAGAACACCGATCCACCCAGCTAAGGGCAGGCTCATTAATTATGTCACTCTAATATTCGAGAGGAGGGTTTGTTACGGCGTGACAGTCAATGTAGGGACTTGTTAATTACGCGAGCATGCACAGTCCTCCTTAGTGTAATTAAAAACACTCGGGTGATTCTCTAACCCCTTTCCGTAGCACGCTTTACGGTTAACTCCCATCTTCTAAATATTTCTATCACTCCCCTATCTATTATCTTTAACCAACGCCTTTTATTAGAACGGAGGATCTTCGCTGCATCTTTAAACCACAAAACTGGAAAAGAAGACAGTTTTACGGTACATCGCTCGCCAAAAGTAACACCTGGGAATAAACATCGAGCAAATCGGAGACCAATAAATAATGCTTAAGATAAAGTAAAGAAAGTGATTCAATTCTGATTTAAAAATACATGTAATTTTAAAAGTATGCTCATAGTCGCCTTTAACTGTACTAAATAATATATGTGATCATCAGCCATGTACAGCTGTATGACCCTGGAATCCAGTTTGAGGTACAAACAAAATTAACAGGCTTATTGGAATGTTCCTATAATGTAGATGTTTGTGCCATTTTTTTTTAACAAAAACCAGAGCTGTTAAAAAAAATAAATTCCAAAAATGACCATTTTAAAGTTATTGATATTCTGGGAGGCTCTGAATTTTCCTAACGTGAGAGAACCCATTAGAGTAAAAAAATTCACATTTCCACGATTTCAGAATTTATATATCTTTTTGACCGGCTTTGGGTGTTAAAAAAAAAATGCCGTAAATAAAACTCAACATGACACAAACGTCTACATCAGAGAAACGTTCCAATAAGTCTGTTAATTTTGATTGTGCCTCAAACTGGATTACAGGTTCATACAGCCGCCATGTACCCCATGATTTTTAGGTATTCCAGTTCTTTTGGTGGGTAGGGTATATATGAGGAAACAACCCTCATAACAAACCAAAGTATAGGGTAACGGTGATAAAAATCTAAAAAAAGGCCGGTAATCAATTAAACGACAATTAATGTTAAACTTGGTCTCGTAAGAACTTCCAGAATTCGATCCGATGTTTAGGTATTCCAATTCTTTTGGTGGGTAGGGTATATATCAGGAAATAACCCTCATAACAAACCAAACGAAGTATAGGGTAACGGTGATAAAAATCGAAAAAAAAGGCCGATAATCAATTAAACGACAATTAATGTAAAACTTGGTCTCGTAAGAACTTCCAGAATTCGATCCGACATCCTCTCGCTACCTTAGGGGTTTCGGGCCCCGTATGCGCGGTAACTTTATGAATTAGAATTTAAATGGCCCGGGTGAAATTGTCAATTAAGGCGAAAGTATCAATTGGCGCGATTAAGGTAGCAAGGCCGCCCCTGGTACTACCGCCGGAGGCGCGCGGGTCCCGGGACTTTTCCAGGGGAACGCATACGGGGGTCCCACACGGGGTGCGCAAGGGTCTCCCATGGATTGCACGCGTGTGCCGATCGTTGATTGAAAATTGGACAAAACGGGGCGACGCGTGCTTGGCTTCGATCGACGAAACGTCGTTCGCAACGACCCCGAGAGCCCTTTTACGAGCACAGATACAAGATCGATAATTCCGACTGCGGAAATATGCCGACTTAACCCTTTCGTTACCTTGGACGAGATATCTCGCGACCCAATACTGGCCGATTAACGCTTTTGACGAGATATCTCGCGACCCGATACTGGCCGATCAACGCTTTTGACGAGATATCTCGCGATCCGGTAGTAGCGGATTAACGCTTTTGACGATAATCTAGCTTTCTAGCACCAATATTTTGACATTCTAGATGAATATATTTTATAACTAATTCTATTCGTATAGCTAAAAGGAAGAAATAAATACAGCTACTACCGGATCGCGAAATATCTCGTCAAAAGCGTTGAGCGGCTACTACCGGGTCGCGAGATATCTCGTCAAAAGCTTTGATCGGCCAGTATCGGGTCGCGAGATATCTCGTCAAAAGCGTTGATCGGCCAGTATCGGGTCGCGAGATATCTCGTCAAAAGCGTTAATCGGCCAGTATTGGGACGCGAGATATCTCGTCCAAGGTAACGAAAGGGTTAAGGGGTTACACCACTTTGACCGATCCAAAAATTACGGTTTTCCAAGAATTTTTTTTTTAAGAATTAAAACGTTTTTATCCAAATCAAAGTACAGTAAGGTATTATACTACTATTAAACAAAAAAAATGCTTTTTTTGTATTTATTTTATTTACAAAAATGGCGGCTTGAAAGGCGATTTACCGGAGCGCTGCGAAAATTGATGATCGTGCGGTGGGCACGATAACTCAGTCCGGGTTTAAGTTAGAACAACAAACGAAAAAGAATTAGTTTCCGTAGCTCAAAAGCTAAGGAAATACGTAGCCGTTTCCCAAAATATGCATTTTTCACAAAATGGCATCGATTTGAAAGGAAAATTACGTATTTTGCCCTAAATTTCGTTAATTAATGTTGCATACAAGAATGCGAATATCAATACATAGAAAAAACCATACGTATTTCGCTAGATAAACATATCACGAATAACATAAAAAAAGAATCAAGGCGATTGATTGAAAATTGGCGGAGCTAGAGTGCCCACCGATTTTTAAAATGCAGTTTTAAGAAAAACGCGTAAAATAAACGTGTAAAATAAACGCGTAAAAAATTTTTTATTTTTATTTTTTAATTTCAAAGTGGTATGACCCCTTAAGATGATATGAAAGAGTCAGCCTATATATATCTGAGCAGTCAAATCGTTGCGGAAAGTATTCTCCGAAGTGGGTGTACCGATTCGTTTCAAATCTTCCCACGGGAATGTGGAGACCCTAAAATAGGTCCTGAAACTCATGAAATTTCATTGTTCGTGAAAAATTTATTTATTTATCATGGACTACCAACACGGCGTGGTCCAGGTTATCGTGCCCACCGCACGATCACCGATTTCCGCAGTGAGCGAGTTTAATAGTAGTATAATACCTTACTGTACTTTAATTTGGATAAAAACGATTTAATTCTTAAAAAAAAATTCTTGAAAAACCAAAAATTTTGGGTGTGTCAAAGTAGTG